TACAAAAAAGAGTGGTATGTTTACCTTTGTCTTGTTCCTTTTGTTGCTTTTCCACCTGCGCAGTTAGAGTCCTGCCTGTGAGAGAAAAACTGAGTACCATCTGTAATGTTTTATTCAAATTTTATTTGTCTCTGTCTTATAGTTCACAGGATAATTTCTGTATGGTTTTCATTTAGTTAACTTAATTGAAAGCCACATAATGAAGTCAAATAAGTTAAAGTTATCGTTTTGTTGTTAATATCAAATGAGAAGAACAAATTTCTTACCTCACCCCTGGAGAATCCAGTTCTGCCTGTTAGCTGCGTTTTCTTTAGATTAAAGTAAGATTGTTTTCAGTGGAGCTAGTTGGTAACAGGAAGTCCTTGTTAAACTGCCTAGATGTACTTGGCACAGGCTCTGTAGTTCCAGTCCTATATTACATATAAAGTACATTACTCACAAAAGAGGGGGTTCGTAATTAAGCAAAGATTACTTTGTTTTCTTTAGGTATGAAAACTTGCTAAGTGTATGGAATTTGGAATAAACAGGAATGGAAAGAACCTTGGGTAAAGGCTTTTTGTTCAGTTTACTTTAAAATGATTTAATTCCATCTTATTTTAGGGAATTCCAAGAACTTAACTCAGAAAATTACCAAATTTCAGAACTACAACAGCCAGAAAAGAGTTCATGTCTTTAAACCTGCCACCTTACCTTTCTTTTTAGTATGCCTGCTATTTTTAAGTTTCTTTCATAGTTTTCCATATCAAAAACTAAAATTGTACAGCACTATATGTTATGCTATTTATTATATCAATATAACAATTCAAAATTAATTTTTACCAGAGTGAAATATTTGTAGGAAAAATCAGAAATAAAATTTCTCTCACACAACTAAATTTTCTTACATTCCCTTTTTCTCTGCCTGAGTTGTTATGATTTGAGGGTGAGAGGAGGGACATTGCTATAATATCTATCAAAATAACATCTGTATTTATTCTTTGGTTTAGTAGTCCTACTTCCTGGAGTCTTTTCCCAAAATAAGAAATAACATCTTCACACACTTTATTCCTCACAGCCCTCTTTGTAAAATCAAGACATTGGGAACAACCCATGATGAAACATCTATATAATGAACATTTTGTTCATTAATAAAGAGTATAGTAATAAATAAGATTTCTTTATACTACTTCAGAGTAATTTTAGGATTTACTGTTTTTAAAAAAAGCATGGTGATGCACAAAAGTGCATCTAACTTTTGAGGAAGAACAGGAGGGTAGAGATACACGCACATAAACACCCCGTAACCAGCCAATAGCAGTGAATATCCATAGTGCTCAAATTGTGGTCTTTAAAATACCATTTCCCCCATGTACATGTTTATATTATTTAAAAAAAACAAAATCAGTGGGAGGATGAATTAAAAACTAATGAAACCGCTTATACTGTTGGTGGATGTGAATTGGTGCAGCCACTATGGAGAACAGTATGGAGGTTCCTCAAAAAACTAAAAATAGAGTTACCATATGGTCCAGCAATTCCACTTCTGGGCGTATATCCAGAAAAGACCAAAAACTCTAATTCAAAAAGATATATGCACCCCCAATGTTCATAGCAGTACTATTTACAATAGCCATGACATGGAAGCAACCTAAATGTCCATCGACAGATAAATGGATAAAAAGATGTGGTATGTATATATATATACATATATATATATATGTATATGTATATATAAAAATAAATAATGGAATGTTATTAGGCCATAAAAAAATGAAATAATGCCATCTGCAGTAACATGGATGGACCATGGACCTACAGATCATCATACTAAGTGAAGTAAGTCAGAGAAAGACAAATATATGATATCACTTATATGTGGAATCTAAAAAAAAATACAAATGAACTTATTTACAAAGCAGAAATAGACTCACAGACATAGAAAACAAACTTATGGTTGCCAAGGGGAAGGAGGGGAGGGATAAATTGGGAATTTGGGATTAATAGATACATACTACTATATATAAAATAGATAAAAAAAACAAGGACCTACTGTATAGCACAGGGGAGTATATTCAATATCTTGTAATAAACTATAATGGAAAAGAATCTGGAAAAGTATTTATATGTACACATATATATGTATAACTGAATCACTGCTGTACACCTGAAACATTGTAAATCACAATTAAAAATAGTATAATAATCAATAAAGAAAAAAAAACTAATGAAAATGGTTACCTATAGGAGACTAGGAAGAAGAGTGGAAAAGAGATAGAGAGGGAAAATATTTTTTTCTGATTTCATTTTGTTTTTATAGTTTGAATTTGGAACGATATAAGTGTTTTAAAAATTAAATCTTAACGTAAAGAATAAAACTATTTTTAAAAAACAAAAGCAGCCTGAAACAAATGAACCTAGTTTTGTATCTTGATGGTGGCATAACGGCACAGAGAAGGATTACTTCAAATAATTCTAGAATCAGTATTTTGACTGCATCTCTTGTGGGATATATCTTATAGACAAGAATAACCACAAAGGGATCTTAATGTGCATTAAGTAGTGTTATTTTTAGTAATAATGTTGGTATTATTATGTTGAAACTCATAGGAGAGAGCAAATAGTTAATGATGGCGTTATTAGGAACTGTAGTTTTCAGCATAAGGAAAAAGATACAAATTAAGAAGCTAAGTAAAAACTTGGTAATATTTGATTTAAAATGGAAAAATCAGTATGACCTCATGACTTAATTTTTTCTTTCTTAAAATCTATATTTTTCCTAACTTTGTCCACTGAAATGGTCTAGGAGCAATGGCAAGTCAATAACGATAAATGTCCAGAAGTGCCCAGATTGTGGTCTTTAAAATACCAGTTCATACTAAAAGGAACCAGGGCTCTTTAGGGAATTGGATGAGTTCAGGTCCGGACCATTGTTTCTTACAAAAAAGCAAAGAAGCTATCAAAGACTCTTGGAGTTGTACCAAAAGAAAACAGGAGCCAACACAAAAGGGATTCCCACTGACCAAAAATGGGTAACTTTAAGCCTCAAAAAGAACAGTAACTATAATAAGTTGAAACATCTAATATATTTTAAAACTCCATGAGTCCATAATGATATCTCCCACAAACCAAAGAAAGCAACTTGATCACCTTTGGAGGTTAATAGGACATCAGTTCATTATTATGAAAATTAGGAAATGAAGGCAAAGGATCAAATATTTATCTTGACTTTTCTCTGAATTGTACTTGAGTCACCAAGTAGTTAATGAAAACTTACTTTTTAGCAAAAATCCAGCTAGTTAGTGCAAATGGAATACAGAACTAAAAAAGTCATGATTTTATAGCCACTTATATGATAATGGTATTAAACACAGGTCATTAATGGTTGCTAAAACCATTAGATGAAAGTTTAATGGAAAACTTTATTTTGGACAAATCAGGCTGACTGCAGCCTGAATCCATGGATCCATTTAACCATCACTGAAAGTGGTGCACTCAGATATTAAATGCCTCCTAAGTACTAGCAGCATCTATGAAATATGCTTGCCAAAATATTTCAACTTGAAAGCCATCCAGCCTGTATATTTAACTACTAGATACAGGAAATACAGGGTGTGTATGTTAAATGACTTCATAAGGAAGATATCAGCCAAATCCTAAACATGGGAGATTCTATAGAACAATGACTTGTTTTGTTTTACAGATAGAAGTCATGGGAGGAAAAGAAGTGTTGGTCATAGTGTTGCAGGAATGGGAGGTGTTGGCGTCGGGAGTGATACCGATTCAAAAACAATTAAAAGAATAAATTGTAATATGTATCTGGTTTGGATCTGGATTTGGACATAGCACTTGTAAAAAGATATTGAGGAATATTAATTTTTTTAAGAACTTAGGTGTGATAGTGATATTGTAATATTTTTTAATTTTTAAATTATGGGGTGACGTGATATGACTGATGGGGGGAAGTGGAAGATACGTAGATGAGCAAGAATGGTACAAAACTGATAATTTTTAAAGATAGGTGATAGGGTTCATTAGATTTATTTTACTATGTACTTATTAAATAATATATATTTGCCTGAAACATATATCAAACCCTGACCAAGACAGTGTTTTATTCAACTTTTTGACCTCTGCCATCTGATAGGCAAATAGTGGTATTTTGTGGTAATTCCTTTTTTTTTTTTTTTTTTTCGGTAGGTGGGCCTCTCCCTTTTTTGGCCTCTCCCGTTGCGGAGCACAGGCTCCGGACGCGCAGGCCCAGCGGCCATGGCTCACGGGCCCTGCCGCTCCGCAGCATGTGGGGTCCTCCCGGACTGGGGCACGAACCCGCGTCCCCTGCATAGGCAGGCGGACTCTCAACCACTGCGCCACCAGGGAAGCCCCCTATTTTTTTTAAACTTATTTTGTTTTTTTCATTTGTTGTTCCTCAATTTGTTCCTAATTGAGTGTAAGGTTTTCTATGCACAGTGCTATGCTAAGTAAATTAGATAAAAGTGGCCTCACTTCTCCAGTAAATTGCACATTTATGTGGATACACTCACACGGTGGAAATACAGGTGAGCTCAAATAATACAAGCTCTGAATGAATATTTGGGTATTTAAAACATGATACAGATTGTATTTAAGAAGAAAAGGACATGGGATAAGAGCCTTTACATCATGATGCAGTGTATTTTAAGAGAAGGATATAATTAATGTGAAAGTTGGAATTGATGGCTGAGTGCTGTGGAAACTAGTCCACTTCTTTTTCTATTTGTACTTTTTTTGTTGGCCTGTTGACCTATTGCTTGTTTTCTTGACAGTTCTCTTTACCTGATTTCCCTTTTATAGGCCAATTCTTACAGACTTACTTTAGCGGCAATAAAAAGGAAAAATGAAGAAATAAATTGTACACTACTCTCTAAAACCAGTATGTTCTGTAATGAGTAGGGTTAAAACTTTGGAATAAGAACATGGTCAAAACGTCTTTTAAGTGGCTGTCTGATTATATATTTGCTATAAAACTACTTATGTCTCTCTAGGTTGGCAAATAAACAAGATAAGGAAGGGGCTTTAGGAGAAGCTGATGTGATTGAATGCCTGTCTCTGGAAAAACTGGTCAATGAGCACAAGTGCTTATGTCAAATAGTAAGTTTTGGGGGTTCTTCTGCCCTATGAATTATGTTCGGTATAACTTAGTTTTTGTAAAGGTGATAAGCAATTAGGGGGTAGGTAGCTAACAAAATAATTTATTAGTGTTTTTAAAAAAATTTTTTAACCTGTTCTCACTGTGTTTTAACAGTTCTCACTGTTCATTTGATATTATTTATTACAGTGATATTTGTTTTCTATTTAGTTGTTACTGACTTCTATAAGCTATCTTTCATGATTTCAAAGACTTTAGGTTTGCTCTTTGTTTAAGACATTGCTGACAGGACCTGTAAGCTATACAAACATGTCGTGCTATAAATTTTATAAAATGGTAAAAGTATAAATACAAAATTTATACTTAGGGGAAGTTTATAATGAATTTAAAAAAATTATATCAGGAGAGTTATCATACAGTCTTGAGAAGATGGACTGAGGATTTAATCATTTATTCTGGTTTCAGAAAATGATTGTTAGGCTGTCAATCGTAAAAGATGGTTACTGGGAACTCCCTGGCGGTCCAGTGGTTAAGATTCCGCACTTTCATTGCCAAGGGTGCAGGTTCGATCTCTGGTTGGGGAACTATGATTCCACAAGCTGTGCGGTGCAGCAAAAAAAAAAAAGGGCTTCCCCGGTGGCGCAGTGGTTGAGAGTCAGCCTGCGGATGCAGGGGACACGGGGTCGTGCCCCGGTCCGGGAAGATCCCACATGCCGCGGAGCGGCTGGGCCCGTTAGCCATGGCCGTTGAGCCTGTGCGTCCAGAGCCTGCGCTCCGCAACGGGAGAGACCACAACAGTGAGAGGCCCGCGTACCGCAAAAAATAAATAAATATATGTTAAAAAAAAAAGATGCGTACTGCCATAAATTCCCTGGTATAACAAATTAAAACTTTCTGCGATTTTTAATAAGTAAGGGTGTTTTTCTTCTGTAAGTTCAGTTTTGTCAGTGAGTTTGTTTAAAATTTAACTGTCAACTTTTTGTGTCATAATCGCTCTCAAAACTTACAGATATGATCCATAAAATATTTCCACTCCTACGTACATACTAATGTAGTGATCATTTCAAGGGTGTGTTTTGTAAGTTGAAGCAGGTGCTTCATATCATTAATTTAATGGGTTAATTAATTTTGATTCGCCAGTAATTATATCTTAATGGTTTATCAATAAATTTTTGTAGAGATCTTTTAGTTTTAATCTTTAAGTCAAATAAATTGCTGTTTTTAAGGAACCTTGTTCAGCAGTCTTGGGATATGGAAAGAAAATTGACAAGTCCATTAAAAAAGGCCTTTATTGGCTGCTACATATCATTGCAAGAGACTTTGATGCCTTAAATGAGCGCATCCAAAAAGACACAGCAGAACAACGTGCTCTTGAGGAACAAGAGAACCGAGAGCGGGCTGAGAGAGTACGAAAATTACGAGAAGAAAGGTAAGTAGATTAATTTTGTAGCACAGTGCATATGAAAAATCAAAAACACCACACTTTTATTAATAATTTTTTTAGTTTTGTCTATTTAGGTTCCTCTTTTTGTATGAAGGAAGATACTAGGTAAATTTTTTATTTCTGTAGACCTGCACAAGTTTGGTTGATAGGGTTCTAAGTTTGGTTGATAGCACAATTGGCATCTATTTGTGGGAAGAGGCCAGGGATGCTGCTAAACATTCTGTGATGCACAGGACAGTTTCCCATAGCAAAGAATATGTCAGTAGACTGAGAAATCCTTCATTAGTCTCAGCAAAGATAGAAGGTAAGCAGTTAGTGGATCAGCCAGCTGAAGCAAAATCTGATCTTCAACACTTGTTTTGTCTGAAAGTGGACTAAATTGCACTATCTCAGGTTTTAAAACATGCTTTTAAAATTATTTTAAAAATATGTTGCCTAAAGGGAAATTTAAAAAATAAGTTTAGCAAACTCTAAATTAAAAAAAAATGTTTATGTAAATTCTACCACAGAATCAGTTATAATAATGTTAATGCTAGAAGAAAGTACTCAGATTTGATTAGAAGTTGAATTTAGTTCTTAATCCCAAGATTTCTCTTTCTTTCGCCACTGACATGGCAGGGGAGGGAAGAAACAAAAAGATTTCTAAGTGAGCTCCTGTGAGATCCAAAGTGGTCTTCCATCTACCTAAGTAATATTGGCCTTCCATTTGCTTTAACAGTTGCAGCCTGGTAGGCAAGAACCCACTAACTGCCCTTGGTGAGGTGCTCCTTTATGTTGTCAAGGAAATCCTCTGATTACTGGTATCTTTCATTTAATTCAGAGATAGGACTTAAAGGAAAATATTTGGAGAGATAACTCTTCTGTCCTCAAGGGCTCAATAACATGAGCAGGTCAGTCATCTCAGTCTCTCTTGATAACAATATGAGGTTTTAGTTCCTATGAGAATCTTTATTTTCTATTCTAGTGTATATTTTCATGATATAAAGCTCAGTACAACCAGTCATTCATACAAATATGCCTTCCGTGTGTTTATAAAAATAAAATATATGGCCATACTTTTCTAAAGGCTTCTTTGCTTTTTCTCTACTTAGAAAAAACAAAAAGAACAAAAAAATTGAGTTGGGTAAAAGAAATCTAATTAGTATTTTTTTTCAAGTTTTTACTTTTTCCATAAAGATATTCCAGGTCATGTTATGGCAGGCTTTTCTGGTACCCCATTTGCCTTTCCTCCTTTCTCCTAGCCATGCCACTTGTGGTCTGAGTCCTCTTCTGTTGAACAGAGACTGCATAATTAAATTTAGACAGGAGTAATTAAAAAAAAACTTTTTATTGTTAAATACAATCTGATAGGTTTGGATTTTTTGTTGGTTTGGATATTTTTGAAAAAACAGTAAAACAAGCTATTATTGGTATCTGAAAATAGTATATTAATACCAGATACCTGAAATTGCTTACTAATAAATGAGTAACATTAATGACTGTTGGGACTTCCCTGGTGGCGCAGTGGTTGAGAGTCCGCCTGCCAATGCAGGGGACACGGGTTCTAGCCCTGGCCCGGGAAGATCCCACATGCCACAGAGCAACTAAGCCCATGCACCACAACTGCTGAGCCCGTGTGCCACAACTACTGAAGCCCGCACGCCTAGAGCACGTGCTTAGCAAAAAGAGGGGCCACTGCAATGAGAAGCCCACACACTGCAATGAAGAGCGGCCCGTGCTCACCGCAACCAGAGAAAGCCTGCGCACAGCAACAAAGACCCAACGCAGCCAAAAATAAAAATAAATTTAAAAAAAAAATTAAAAAATAAGGACTGTCCTGTAAGTATGTTTATATACAGAGTGCTTTCACATATATTACTTTACCTGAAATAACCCTATGAACTATGTATTTTATCCACATTTATGGGAAGGCAGAGGCTCAGGTATCCAGATAGATATCCAAGGTCACAGAAGTAGCAAATTGCAGATCTCTAAATTTTGGCTTCCTAGGTTCAGAATGAAAGTATATATCTTTCCATCATAGAACTTAATTAATAAGTGCCATAGTAATGAACATTGACATTGTTATACTATTGTTATACAGTCTAGTTGCAGATCTACAATACTTATGTTTCTATCTTCAGCTGCTTCTTTTAGTAACTTATTACCTTCATCTATGGGGCAACATTAGCTTTAAATCACAGAGTAATAAAATTCTCAGTAGTAACTAATATAGAAATACTTATTTAATCTAAGTGATATAGGGCAGCTTATTTCTATAGCCTCTTCTACTTATGCAAAGCAACAGTTGTTATCTAGTTCATTTATGATATATAACTAGACACAGCTCTTAAGATGAAGGTTAACAACAGGACTTATTTATCTGGTTAACATCAGTGAAGAGGATAGCATTTGTTTGGGAGGGTAATTAATAAATTGGTAAATATAAACCTTTGTTACATAGAAAAATAATTAATATGCATCACTGATGTTAAGAACTCAGTCATAGGGAATGTCATTTTGTCAGCATTTTTTTTTTTAAATTTCTTTCTCTCTCTCTCTCTCTCTCTCTCTCTCTCTCTCTCTTTCCTTCTGGCTGCGTTGGGTCTTCATTGCTGCGTGCAGCCTTTCTCTAGTTGCAGCCAGCGGGGTCTACTCTTCGTTGTGGTGCACAGGCTTCTCATTACGATGGCTTCTCTTTGTTGTGGAGCACAGGCTCTAGGCACGCGGGCTTCAGTAGTTGTGGCACCCGGGCTCAGTAGTTGTGGCTCGTGGGCTCTAGAGCGCAGGCTCAGTCGTGGCGCACGGGCATAGTTGCTCTGCGTCATGTGGTATCTACCCGGACCAGGGATCGAACCCATGTCCCCAGCCTTGGCAGGCAGATTATTAACCACTGCACCACCAGGGAAGTCCTGTCAGCATTTCTTTCTTTTAAAATTCAAATAATTAATCTTTACATGGGGATTGTGGCCTGTTACCTGCATAAAGATATCTGAAAATCTCTCAGTAATTCAAAACCATGTCCAGATGTTTAAATTACTGAACTCAATAGCCTTAAACCTATTGGAAATGTTCTTAAACATGGTTCAGCATTTTCTCATAAGGAATTCCGATTTTTTTCCCTCAAACAATAGAGAACAAAGAGAGCGAGAGCAGGCTGAACTCGATGGAACCAGTGGTCTGGCTGAGTTGGACCCAGAACCAATTATTGTTAATCCTTTCCAGCCGATAGCATCTGTAATCATTGAGGTATGGATGGTGGCAAATGTAATTTTTATGTCTTAAGTTATAAAGTTGGAAGTTCAGAAAGGAGGCAGGGAGATAGAAGTATTTCACCAGAGGTTGATTATTTGTAAAAGAAATTAAATGGGGGAGATGGGTTAAAGGTTTGCTGCTTTTTCTTCCTCTTCAGATTTACCTTCTGATCTAGTATAAAAAGGGAAGATGACTTCAGAATTAACTGAGAATGAAAATAAAGATTGAATGTAGCAACTATCACAGTTACTGTTCTGATAAATTTTTTTTGTCACTTATTTCATATAATAGTATGTTTACTCATATTTACATTATCTTTATCCCTGTATTGCTATTACTATCCCTTTACAGTAATATTTAGATGCTTATGGTGCATTATAGTACATAAATGATTTTCTAGTTATTTTCCTAGGATACTTAATGTTTGAGACTATAATAAATTCTCTTATATCTGAATATTATTTATTTTAATTTTAAATGTCAGAAGTTTTACCAAAATTAATGTGTAGATTTTAATCATGAAGAAGTTATGGGGTTTTATGTGTGCGTGTGTGTGTGTGTGTATGTGTGTCCGTGTCTGTCTCTCTGTGTCTTTGTTTTCATTTGCTACTGGTGTTTGGAGTTTGCATTGGCCCTGCTTTAATCACCTTCAGCAGCTATGCCTCCTCAGTGGCAGAGCTTCCTAAATCTCCTCTCCGTTCCCTCAGAGCTTAATGTGGCAGGTGGCTTGCTGGACCCGCCTGTATGTTCTCTATTCCTCTTCCCTGTCACTGCCTCCTTCCACACAGGTACTCATCCGGAAAGGTGGATGATTATTTCTTCCTTGGGGCTGCTGCTGAGGAGGGAGGCAGCTCCACAGGTAAGAAGATGAGTGTAGAGTTTTTGGTGTTGCTTTGTGTTTGCCAAATAGTTGGTAATATGAGATATTTGGTCTGAAGTTAGTTAGATACTAGAAGGTTAGCTGTATTTAATCTTTTTATTAACCCCATTGCATTTACCTTAAGCGTATGCTTTTCTTAGTAAAGCAGTCTTAATAACTTGAGCTATTGTTTTGTGTCCATACTATTAAATATGGTGTTTGTCAAGTTTTATATTCTTTTAAAAATATTGGTAGAGGAAAAGAAAATCAAGTTTGGTTTTTTACTTTGAAACATTGATTTACTCTATATTTGTAATAAAGCTCACCTTATAAATAATGACCAATTATTTTATAGTACCATGGTTGTAAATTACTTAGAAGGCCTTAGCACTTCTACCAACATTGTATTTTTCACAATATAAAGATATGAACAATACTGGTATACAGCACAGAACATCTTATATTGAGGTCCCTGAATTAATTAGTGGCATGGGGAAAGTACAGTTATTATGCTTTTAAAATACAGTAATTTTAAGAAGATCATCAGTAAAGGAATGAAATAAATGAAAATAAATTATCCATAGTCTCTCTTTTTCACCAGGCAAATTTTCTTTTCTCCCCCGTAAAACTTCTCCTTTAAAATATTACCTTACATTCATTCCTTTGATTTTATCACAGACAATAAAAATGGTGAGATATTGGTTCCAGAATAGACAAACAGATCAATGAAACAATAGTAACAAACCAAATTATATATAAGCATTTAGTGTAAGATAAATGTGGCATTTCAAATCTGGGAGAAAAGGATATTGGGACAACTGAACAGTCATTTGGAAAAAAGTAGAATTATTGAACACTGTGTACCAAATTAAATTTCAAAAGACTTAAATGTATAAAAAAAGAAGACTTAAAAATACTCACATAATACAGTTAGACATTGGTATATACTTGGAGGAGGTTGAAACTTTCAAAGCAGGACAATGAGGCCACAAATCATAAAGTGAAAAATAGGTAGATTGTATTATATTCAATATTTAAAGAGATGTTCTACAGAGTTAAAGACAGAAAAAAAAACCCAAGCTAATCCTAATGAAAAATATTTGAGACCCAGGAAACAACAACAAAAGAACCCTTAAAAAATTACTGTGTAAATAATGAGACTCTAGTAGAAAAACGAGCATTGGGTTATCATGGGTAGTTCCTTAAAGAAAAAATTAAAATGGCAATAAGCATATTTAATAACTTATCTTCAGTTGTATTGATAATAAAAATATTCAATGATAAATCAACACTGAGGTAAAAAATATTTATTAGTTTGGCAGAGATGTAAAAGATTGGTAATGATTAAAAAAGCATTAAAAAAGATGTCACGGGGAGGACTTCCCTGGCAGTCCAGTGGTTAAAACTCTGTGGTTCCACTGTAGGGGGTGTGGGTTCGATCCCTGGTTGGGGAATTAAAATCCCATGTGCCGAGTGGCGAGGACAAAAAAAAAAAAAACGATACACTCTCTCAACCCTTTGCCTGTGGTGTAATTTTACTTTAGTTTTTCTGAAGGAAAGTTTGTAGTATGGCACATTTTAAAATGTGCTTACTCATTGATCCAACATCTTGACTGTTAGGAATTTATTCTAAAGAAGTAATTCAATAATTATATTTCTTATAATAGTGAAAGGTTGAAAATCACTTCTTTGTCCATTGATTGGGTATTGGTAAAATAAGATGATAGAACCATTCAAAACGATTGTATAATTGATGAAAGTAGTAATGGCTTACACATATAGCATTATATAATATTTTCATAGCTAACACTTTATTATGTATGTGTTATGCAATATTCTAAGCACTTTATAGGTTCATTGACAAAGAAAGAAATGTATATTCTTAAATTAAAATTTCAATTCTTTTTTGTTTAAAAATATACATAAATATGTATATATAGACAATCAGTCACATTTATGTATGTTTGTGGATGGTGTATGTCTGTACATGTGTGGGGTAGGCAAAGAAAAGCACGTCTTTGTGACTATACGTCAAACAGTGGTCATCTCTAGATTGTGAAATTACTGGTAATATTTATTTTCTTTCTTTATACTATCTCTGTTTTCTGAATGTTTGACAATTAACATGCTTTAATGATAGACTCAACAAATAATTTTTTAATAGAAATATCACATTGCCTGGAAGTTACAGAATGCTCTTGGATTATTTGATTTCTCCCTTAATACTATCTTAGATATGACTATTATATTAAAAATGATATATTTCATTTTTGTCAGAATGAAAAAAAACTTGAAAGAGAGAAAAAGAGGCAAAATGTGGAGGAAGACAGTGATGGCTGTCCCCTGAAACATAAAATGGAGCATGAGCAAATAGAGACACAGAGCCAGATCAGTGACAGTAGCCAAAAAAACAATGGGTTCGGAATAGTAGAAAATTATAAGGAGGCATTAACACAGCAGTTGGAAAATGAAGATGAGACAGACCAGCAGTCATCAGAATCAGGTGATAAATCTAGTTATTAAAAATATATATACTTATTTATTTTTATATCTATTTTATTTATTTTTAAGTTTTATATATTACATATAACATAAATAATACATATAAAACTTAAAAATACCTCTTTCATTTGTCATGATTATTTTCATAAAAAATGTATCGCAAGATTTTTCATCTCCAAATGCGTTATTTATCATGGTTTTCTCTTGAATTTTAGGTAATCATTAGTCAGTTTGCTAATTTATGTTTTTATTCATGATGCCTTAAAATCTAGTCCTTTGTAACTTAAAAGAATTTCAGCTGAAAATTCATTTTCAAAAATTTGGAATATTGCACAGCCCCAGGAATCTTTGGAACATATTTAAAACCTTTAAAGCTTTTGGAGGTTTGTCTTGTTTTTCTTAATCCTCATAATGTTATGATCAGCATCAATTCCTTCATTTGCTTGTTATTTCTATAGGATGCAGACATAATCAATTGAACATTTTGAAAGTTTTATCAAATAGCCATATTACTCTTATTTTAATATTATACAACATCTTCAATTCATAATTATTTTACTTTTTCTAAGTGGTTATGTAATTTAACAGGAAGTTCACATCTTTTGGTATCATAGAGAGAGCCTCTGCCTTTGGACTCAAGACATCCTGGGGTAGCATCCAGACTTTCTCACCTACTAGATATATGTTACGTTATATAGTGTTCTTCAGTCCTCGTTTCCTCTCTAAAATGGGGTTGTCATCTTTTTTTTCACCAGGCTTTTAGGTTTACTTATAATAAAAGTAACCGTATGGTGTTCCTAGCACAGGGCCTGACACATGGGAAATACCCAATAATCATTGCTTCCTTGCCATTCCTAGTTAGCAATATGGTTCCATGGTATATAAGAATTTTTGTACAGTATCAAAGAGTTTGTGAAAATAAGATCTCAGTCCCTGAGCTGCAGATTAGCTAAATGGATATTTTGCTATATAGAAATAATTAGATTTGAAAGTTATAGTTTTGTAATTTGGGAAGTTAGGGTAGCCACATTTGTACCCATATCGCTCTATCAACAGGGTAAAACAAAAAGTAGACTTAAAGTGGCCTCTCAATATATTGGAAGAACTCTTTCAAACACTAATATGTTGTTAAAGAACAAAATGATTTGGTAGATGATTTGAAAATATTATTTAACACAGCACTATGCTATTTACCATAGCGGTCCTCGGGTATATTATTCTCATTATACAGAATAGGAAACCAGGGCCTTGGAGAGGTTGAGTAATTTAAGATCATATGTCTCATCTGTGGCTGTACTGAGACACACTTCCGTCAACTTCAGGTCCTCTGCTTCGTATCCTATGCTTGTCCATGACCCTGTTCTACTGCCCATCCGAAAGTACCATATGGTTCTGGAGGTTCTCTTTCCTTTCTCCCAGCTGTAAAGCTTACAGCTTTAATTGTAAAAAGATGTCTCTGTTTCTATCTAGAGTAAAATGTCTCAAGTGATACTAATTTACTTAGAAAAATAATGTTTCTAAATATATTTGTATTTCTCATTGCTTTATAGGTTTCATAGATGTTGGCTGCTTGTTGTGTAACAGATAATTTCCATTTTAGAAAATGTATTATATATATAAATTTAGCAATTTGGGATTGTCAGTGAAAATATTTCAGTGACTATGATGTTTGGTTATTTAACTACTATGCCATTCTGGTTCACGTTGTTAAAGTTTACATGTTAACAACACAGATGCACTTAAAATGTTCATATGTGCCTAAGTGAGAATCTGTAAATAGTTATTTTTAGAAAGATTACAAATTCAATTCTGTAACGTCTAACAGTGTGAGTTTTGGTTACATATATTTATATTGGGCATATCTTATTTGGGGGTTATTTTCATGGATAATGTGTTTAGATTTGATTGGGGTGTTTTTTCACATTTCAAAGGATTATTCTTGGGCTTATACCTAGAATCATTCTGTATATCCTATTGAGACAAACCAATACCTCTCCTTTTTCCCCAGGTCATTCTGAGTTTCATGGAAATCCCTGCAGCTAGATAATTCCATTTACTTAGTATGATATATGGGGAAAAAAATGTTACTTTTGGAAATATGGACTTTTTTTGTATTCCAAATCACCTTTCATAGAACTTAAAATATGGCTTTTTGCCATTTGTGTCATATTCATCATTCATCCAATAAACCATCACTTAAAAATTTATTCTTAGTAAAGGCAAGTTCACAGTTCATTATTGGTAACAATTTTTAAGTTGAATTGAAGATATATTCCTATGGTAATAATAATATCAATATTCTAATTCTGTTCTTTAGTTTTTATTATAGAAGTAACTTCTTCACAGAGGCATAAAGTTTCATGTTTATATTCTTACAGATAACAGTAAAAAGAAAACTAAGAAGCTAAGAATGAAAAGGAGCCACCGTGTAGAACCTGTTAATACAGATGACTCTGTTCCTAAGAGTCCAACACCACCCCCACCTCCTCCTCCTGGTGAGTTAGTTGATGCTGATACAGAATTTAGAAATACTGGTTTAAACATTGAAGAAAAAGGAAGAAATTATGCAGTTTTTATTCAGTATATTTATTATCTTGTGAATTGTGAAAAAGGTAGAATTTTTTGCCCCATCTACTTTATTCAGAATTTATCAACGTAAATATCTGTTGCTTTTTTTATTCAGAAAAAATGTTTTATGAAAGTAAAAAAAAAGTAAAAATTAATAAGAAAACTTTACCTAAGCACTTCTTATAATGGATTCAAGTCCTATTTGAAATATCAGTACCCAGATTGCTAAAAGGAATTTAAGTTTAAGGAATGGATGGCTAACATGAGCTTTTAAAAAATTAGATCTTTCATCCTGAAAGTTACCATTTGAAACCAAGATGTGTGAGTGTTTCCATTATATTTCCAACATTCATGCCGACCTCCTAAGCTGTTATGAGGATTAAGTGGAATACTGCATATAAAGCACTGGGACATACTAACTGCACAATAATAGTAATTTTTTAGCACTGGGTATAGTACCTCCCATACTCAATAAATATCAAACGTATATATTTATAGTTTCCTTTTAGCCCTGCTAGAAGGCTTTAGATGGTAACATTTTCCTTTGAGAATTATTTTAAGACTCATTTCTAGTATTCCATTTAATAAGTGTACATTTCTTTTAGTCTCTGTTGGGGGTTAGAATAGTAGCCTAAGGTTATTTATGATGGTAGTGAGGATGCTTATATTTTTAATGAAAGGTAAATAAAAATTTTAAGCAGATATTACCAACCTATAATTACATTTTTAAATAGAAGCCATTTAAAATGGGTTTATGGTTAGTCAGTACTGCATCATTCAGTATATATGAATTGATATTGAAGTTATATACATTCCTGTCAAGAAAGGGATCCTCTCAACAGACCTAAAGAGATATTGTTTAACAGTGTTTTTAAATGTTTTTCTTTTTCTTTAGTTGGCTGGGGAACCCCCAAAGTCACTAGACTTCCAAAACTTGAGCCTCTTGGTGAAACACGTCATAATGGTAATGCAAAAGGATCAGTTTTCAAAGCTCTACGTATCACATTCACTTTTCTTTACCTCATTACTTCAACAAACTTTTACTTTTGGAAGCCTTTCAAATCCACAACCATCCTTTTTCATTATACTCCACTTTTTTTCATTTATTTTTTTTTTATTCTTAAGTGCCCTTTGCCTCTATATAATTTGATTTGACCTTTACCTTAGAATACAGAGGTAAAGACCATCAGAGCTTGTGTTTATCCATTATATATTAATGTAAATAGTTGTGAAAGGGAAAGATTTTTAAATATCTTAAATATGAGACAGTACATTTATAGTGTTAAAAACTTCATTGTCCTATATATGCTCAATATACTCAATGATAATGTCGCATAATTGTTCTTTCTTTGCTTCTAATGACACTCAGCTGCTGTATATTACAATGAAGTAAAGAGTAACACAGTTTGTAAGATCAGAGACCAAATCAGTAAGCCAAATAAAGTTCAGCTAAATAGAAAGTTACTAAAGGCTTCATTGACTAAAGAAAACACTTTTTTTTGGATGAAATTAACACAAGGTTTAGTACAGCCAGTATAGGGCATAAGAACGTCACCTGGAAAACTAGAGAAAGGACAGTTGGGAGTAGAGAACTGCCTTATACAATAGGCAGAAGTTCTGATTTCAGACCATCAGCCCAGACCAGATTCTTTTAATAAAATATTTCTAAAATGCAGAAGGATAATTTTATATATATATAGTAACTCAATAAACTTCTTTATCAAGAACATTTCATTTCCTTTCTGATAGCTCTGTTTACCTGATCTAGAACTTGGTTTCCTAAGAAGACCCATTTACTAGGGAAAAAAAAAAATCAGAAGTTTAATCTTTAGAAAAGCCTTATATATAATTTGAAATTATATTGAACTGTATAAAATATTTTATTCAAAAAGTATATAAATTTAAATGTGCTGGTTGCTTTCTTTTTCTGAATACTGTGTCAATAATGAAATATTTCTTCATAACCATTAGTGAAAATTAAAAGGTTTTTTTCAATTCTAAAGACAGAAAGTTTGTCCTTAGACCATATCAAAATTACAGTGAAATCACATGTCTTTTTGGTTGCTGACTTTACATCATGATGTTTTTATTGACTATAATAGGTTAATTCCTGTTTTATTACACTCTGAAATTGTGTATGCTAGACTGCATTATCAGTTTAAATATTCACTGTGTTGTTAGAAACAATTAGATAATGCTAATATATGTGTGTATAAATACATGTGTGCATGTGTTTATACACAGATATATTAGCATTATCTAATTGTTTCTAACAACACAGTGAATATATATAAATACACGTATATAGAGAAAAATATTAATTTCTCATATAACAGGTACTATTTTTTCTTACTGAATTGGGCATCCAACAAACAACTGTTTTGTATCTGACACCACCTAAAACATTGGTGATGCCAAGATGAATAAGACATAAATTCTACTTTTCTGGGGATCCTAGTCTAATAGAAAAGATAATACTCCAGCTTACTATAGTATATGTGACAATTCACAATATATGGTAAAAGGTTCTATGGTGTATAATTGGAGTACTGTGCACAAACTGCCTAGACAGTGAAAGTGGTATTAGAACTGGGCCTTTGAAGAATGAGAAGAGTCAGTAAGTAGAAGGAACAGACTATTCAGATGTGGAGAGGTGGGAAAAGACATCGCTTATTTGGAAAATAGTATGAAGTTACTTGTGACTAGAGCTTAGGTTCATGTGGGTAGAATGGGTAAGAAAGAGGAAGTTTAAAGCTATAGAAAGTGCTGATCCTTGAATTATGGCTTATAGCCAGATTGTTTAGGGCCTCACATGTATGTTAAGATGTCTGGACTCACTATAATTTTACAGGAGACACTATACATTTTTAGCAGAGAAATAGTATTATAAGGTTTATTGTTTAGGATAATAATTTTTGTCACAATGTAAAGTATGGACTAGATTGTGGTCACACCTGAAGTAAGGATCCCAGTTAGAAGCTGTTGCAGTAGTCAGAGTGAGAAGTGAGGATAGGAATTGGAATTGAGAATAAAAATGTATGCAAGGAATATATGAACAGTTATAAGTACTATATAATGAATGGATGTATGGGATAAAAGGAGAGAGGAACAGGAAATTATTTGGCTCAAGGAGCTAGAAGGTTGGTGCTATTTCTAAGACTGAAAATACATGAGGAGGAAGGAAACCTGCTCTGGAGGTGTCTGTAGGCTTATCTATTTGGAAATTTCTATAAGCCAGTACAAATAAGATTCTGGAGCTCTGGAGAAAAGGGACACAGGTGGGTGGGAGGGTATGTAGGTAGTTTGTTTTTTCAGTTGTCATCGCACAATAGGAATGCTTTGTTCTGTAACAGATGTTCTGTAATTGGTTACTGAATGAATGCAGTTGAAAGAATGATAGTTTCCTGTTTCTGAGGGAAAGTATGCAGAATAAGGAGAAAAGAACTAATGGTAGCATCTAGGGGGAACATTATAGTTAGAAACAAGTAAAAAAGAGGTTGAAAATGGGCTAAAAATGTTGTTTGTTTTTGCTTTGTTTTTCTTTGCTTTCCTGTATTTATTTTTAAATTAGAACTCCTGGGAAAGAATTATAATCAATTAGTTAAGTTTAAGACCACCATTGTTCTAATATATCAGTTAATTTTAAGTATGTATCAATAAATTTAACTTCTCAGAGCAAACAATTAGACATCCTAACTTCACAAGTTTTAAAATATCTGTATTATTTTTTCTCATAAATTTTAAGGCAAAGTATACCTTATCTAGGTAAAAAAAGATGTACAATCAACTCTGCTTTCATTAACGGAGAAGAAAGTAGGTATAATAAATTTAAAATTTTAATTAAAAAGCTTAAATTAGTTTTTAGTGTTTATCATGAGATTTTCATCTGAGATGCTGATAGTTGCCAATTTTATAATCTCATTCTCTTCTCTTCCCTAACTTTGTACACATTTATTTGAATGTGGTTGATGGCAAGTAGACAACAGATACATGACAAAGAAGGGTAAATAATTAAAAGTTAACTACATTTGGGTTTGGCACTTAAAATTTACTGAGATGAAAAACAATTTGTTGTAGTCAAATTAGGAATTAAGGCAGATTCTTATTTGTTCTTTGATTAGAGACATTTACCTTGATGGCAATTTAATTTTATTACTTTTCTAATTTCTTTTATTTTCTGTAAACCTCACTCTGTGTAACAGGTAAGACAGATGCATTCTTCACTTTGTAAATACTCTCAATCTGTACTTCATCAACATGTTACGTGTTATACATTATGAGAAATAGATCCAAGATTCTGTTAGCCAAAAATACGAAGTGCAAAACTAAAGAATATTTTCAAATCTTAAAATATGAATCAAGATTAAATTTTGTATGTTAAAAAGTTTGAAGCCCTTTATAAAAATGGGTGTCAATTAATTTGGTCATATCAGTTGGGCACTATGATCAACTTATATCCCCTACATTTAAGGCAATAAGAAACCTATTTTGTGTATAATGATTTAATTCTGGCAGTTAAATACAGAATCACATTTAATCAAAAGAAACTTTTTCCTTGTGATGATTAAATTAAATCAAATACGGAATTAAATACAGAATTATTCTGAAATAATACAGAATCAACTGCAAAAAAAAATAATTTCTTGGGAGGGAAAAAGATACTTCTTGCCATGTGTATGTGATTTATCTTTTTAGTAGGGTACTTTTAAATTCCAGAAGTAAAACATAATAGAAATGGTATTCATTCTGGTTTAATCTTGAGTTCTGTTATGTGTTATAATTCTCATTAATTTTGAAATCAAGAAATTAGAAAAGGCATACTTTAAATTTATCAAAATAATTGTCTGTTATAATTTTAATTATAGCAATAGTAATAACTGTATATACTACATGACTGGCATATTGCTAAGCACTTTAGGTACATTAGCTCATTTTAATTCTTCTAGTAGCCTTGTAAGATGGGCAATTTTTTGTGTAAGGAACTTATACCCCAAGGTCATAGCTATAATTGGCAAAATCAGGATTTAACTTAGGGTGTCCAGCTTTGACATCCATACTTTGAATTCATTATATTATACTATTACATTAAGATTTGTTAGAGCATCATTGCAGCTTAGTAGTTGCTTTAAATTTATAGTTGCTTGAACAATTGTTTTCTCCTAATTTTTTTAAAGAGGCAAGAGTATACAGTTTATTATTTAAATTTTTTTTTGTTAAGTAACGATATAACTGTGGCAAATCAAGTATTGTCTATGGTATAGTCTGGTAGAGGCTGCAAACTGATGACACAAGGCAAATCTGACTGTTTAACCAAACTGATGTTCAAAATGTTTGAAATAGGGGGTACATGATGTTGGTATGTCTCATTACTGGTGGTGTTAACCTTGATTATTTGGATAAGGTGGTATTTGCCACATTGTAAAATGTTACTGTTTTCCCTCTTTGTAATTGGTAAATATTTTAGAAGTGATTCTTTGAGATTATGCAAACATTCTGTTCTCCACAAACTTCAGCCTACTAGTTTTGGCCTCCATCATTGGACTGTGTCTGCAATAATTATTACTGTGGTATTTGCCTAATGGTAATTTTCTATTTCTCTTTCTTACATTGACATTTATTCAGATTCATTATTTTATTTATTTTTTATTTTTTCCTTCCAGTTTTATTGAGATATAATTGATTTAAAGCACTATGTAAGTTTAAAGTATACAGCATAATGACTTGACTTACATACATCATAAAGTGATTATCACAGTAAACTTAGTGAACACCCATCATCTCATACAGATAAAAACAAAAGAAAAAGAAACTTTTTCCTTGTGATGAGAACTGTTAGGATTTATTCTCTTAACAACTTTCATATATAACATACAGCAGTGTTAATTAATTAATCATGCTTTACTTTACATCCCTAGTACTTAATTATTTTATAACTGGAAGTTTGTACCTTTTGACCACCTTCGTCACCATACAAAGATACTACATTATTATTGACTATATTCCCCACTCTGTACATTTCATCCCTGTGACTCATTTATTTTGTAACTGGAAATTTGTACCTCTTAATTTCCCTCACCTACTTCACTCATCCCCTGCCACCCCACCCGACTGCCCTTGCTACCCACCTCCCCTGTCCAGCAGCTATCTGTTTGTTCTCTGTATCTATGACTGTTTCTGTTTTATGTTTGTTCATTTGGGTTTTTTTAGATTCCACATGCTAGTGATATCATACAGTATTTGTCTGACTTGTTTCATTTAGCATAATACTCTCTAGGTCTACCCATGTTGTCAGAATGGTAAGGTATCCTTTTTTTTTTCTGGCTGAGTGGTATTCCAGTGAGTGAGTGTGTGTGTGTGTGTGTGTGTATGTGTATCACATCTTCTTTATCCATTCGTCTATTGATGGGCACTTTAGGTTGTTTCGTATCTTGGCTATTGTGAATAATGCTGTAATGAATATGGGAGGTGCACATATCTTTTTGAATTAGTGTTTTTGGTTTTTTTTGGAAAAATACCCAGAAGTGGAATTGCTGGATTGTATGGTAGTTCTATTTTTAATTTTTTGAGGAACTTCCATACTGTTTTTCATAGTGGCTGCTGTGCTGTTTACTTTCCCACCAACAGTGCATGAGGGTTCCCTTTTCTCCACATCTTCACCAACATTTGTTATTTGTGTTGTTTTTGATGATAGCCATTCTGACAAGTGTGAGGTGATATCTCATTGTGGTTTTGATTTGCATTTCCCTGATGATAGTGAAGTTGAGCAACTATTCACATGTCTGTTGGCCATCTCTCTGTTTTCTTTGGAATAATGTATATTTAGGTCCTCTAGCCCATTTTTTAATTGGATTGTTTGTTTTTTTGATGTTGAGTTGTATGAATTCTTTGTATATTCAGATGTTAACCCCTTATTGGATATATCATTTGCAAATATCTTCTCCCATTCAGTAGGCTTTCGTTTTGTTCATAGTTTCCTTGCTATGCAAGAGCTTTTTAGTTTGATGTAGTCCCATTTGTTTATTTTTGCTTTTGTTTCCCTTGACTGAGGAGACATATCCAAAAAATATCATTAAGACTGATGCCATAGAGTGCACTGCCTATGTTTTCTTCTAGGATTTTTATGGTTTCACATTTTACAGTTAAGTCTTTAGTCATCTAAAATTTATTTTTGTATATGGTGTGAGAAGGTAACCCAGTTTGATTATTTTGCATGTAACTCTCCAGTTTTCCCAGTACCATATATTGAAGAGACTGTCTTTTCTCCATTGTATATTCTTGCCTCCTTTGTCATGGCCTTTTTTTAGTGGCAGCCCTAGTTTGCAATATACATTCACAATGAATCCAAGTCCACTTTCAAATAATACTATACAACTTAACAGGTAGTGTGAATACCTATAATAACCAAAGAATCATAATTCTTTCCTCCTGTCCCTTGTTTCATTGCTATCATCCATTTCATTTATATATAAGCATACATAAGCATATATATAAGCATATATAAGCATACATAAGCATTTATATATAAGCATATATGTACATAAGCAAGTATATATAATCAGATACATTGTTGCTATTAATATTTTGAACAAACTGTTATCTGTTGGATCAATTAAGAATATGAAAAATAAGTTTTCATTTTACCTTTACATATTTCTTCTTTGATACTTTTTCTTTCTTTATGTAAATCTGAGTTTCTGATGTTTATTATTTTCCTTCTGTCTGAAGAACTTTTAACATCTCTTGCAAGGCAGTTCTAATGGGAACAGATTCCTTCAGTTTTTGTTTTTCTGAGAAAGTTTTTATTTCTCTTTTACTTTTGAGGAATAATTTTGCAGGGTATAGAATTCTAGGTTGGTGGCAGTTCTTTTTTCTCTAAATACTTAAAAAATTTCACTCTACTTTCTTCTTGCTTGCATGGTTTCTGGGGAGAAGTTGAATGTAATTCTTACCTTTGTCCACCTACTGGAAAAGTGGTTTTTCCCCCCTGGCTTCTTTCAGGATTTTTTTTTCCTTGATTTTCTGTAATGTGAAAATGATACACCTAGATGTAGTTTTGGGGACATTTATCCTGCACAATGTTCTCTAAGTGTCTTGAATCTGGTGTTTGGTGTTTGACATTAGTTTGAGGAAATTCTCAGTCATTATTGCTTCAGATGTTGCTTCTGCTCCTTTCTCTCTTCTCCTTCTGGTATTCCCATTACATGTATGTTAGACCTTTGGTGCTTGAACAGTTCTCGGATGTTCTCTTTTTTTCTTTTCAGTTCTTTTTGCTTTTTAGTTTTCAAGGATTCTATTGATATATATCTCTTTTCCCAGCCATGTCCAGTTTACTAATAAACCCATCAAACGCATTCTTCATTTCTGTTACAGTGTTTTTTTCTCTTTTCCCAAAAGCATTTCTTTCTGGTTCTTAGGACTTCCATCTCTCTGCTTACATTTCCCATCTGTTCTTGCATGCTGTCTACTTCATCCATGAAAGCCCTTAGCTGATTAGTCATAGTTGTTTTAAATACCTGGCCTGATAATTCCAGTATCAGTGCCATATCTTGTTTTGATGCTTGCTCTGTCCCTTCAAATTGTGTTTTTGCCTTCTGGACTTTTTTCTTGATAGTCCAGCATGATGTACTTGGTAAAAGGAACTACTGTAAATAGGCCTTTAATAATGCCATGGTGCTGTGTGGTGGCAGGGGAAGCATTCTATGTTCCTGTGATTAGGTCTCAAGTCTTTTAGTGAGCCTGTGCCTCTGGACTGTTAACTTCATAAGAGTTTCTCAATTTTTTTTTCTCCCCCATTAAGTGGTACAGAATGGCTAGGGCCAGCTGGAATTGGTTATTGCTCTTCCCCAGGTGGGTTAGGTTCTGATAATACCCCAGCAGGTTAGACTCTGGTTAACTAGTTTCCTCTGAGTGTGGGCCTTGTTAAGAACAAAATACTCCAAGGTATTTCATAATGGTTCCTTTTCCCCTGCTCTGCTGTGAGCAGGAGGGGATTTTTCTCCAGTATTTACTGTGGGAATTTGTTCAGTCTCCTGGAGCTGAGTCTCACAATATCGGCGGGGGGGGGGGGTCCCCCTTATGACTTAATTTCCCTGGAGTTTCTAACTCTCAGGCTTGTCCACACTGAGCATCCAGCATTTTGTCAATCACATTTCAGGTTTTCCTACCTGGGCACTGGGTCCTTCAGCACTTTCCATTCATGAATGTCTGGCCTGGTAAACTGAGACTTCCTGTGTTTGCCTGTCTCTCCAATATTGAGGGCAGTGGTTTATTTTGTGACCTCCCCTCTCTTATGGATCCCAGAAGAACTGGTGATTTTTTAGTCTGTTCAGCTGTTTACTTCTCGTTAGTATGGAGTGACTTCTAAGCTTCTTAAATGCTGTTAGGACTTTGCTAAATTAATGTTTGTTAAGTAGAGCCCCTGGCCTCAGTTCAAAAAGACCAGAAGAGAAATTGAAATAGATAAATTACTCACAGGTCCTGGAGGAAGTATATGACATGCTTCAAGGGTTCCACAGTGAGAGGTGGGAGGTCACGGCAAGCTGTAGGCAGAGAGAACTGCAGTACCTGGGCCACATGCCTTTATTAGGGTCTGTGGATGGAGTGCTTTGGGGTTCCCAGGCTAAGGCCAGATTGGTCAGTTTAAACCAAAACAGCGGAGTTTTGGTAAGTTCCTCTGGGGTATTATCTAAGGGAAGGTGAGGGAGACAGTTGATCACAAAGGCCATTGGGGAAGTTATATCAGGAACACACATAACATACATAATCATTTACCTGTGATTCTGCAGGCTGTTTTCTAGAGCATGTTCTTGCATGAGGTGCTAGTATCTATTTAAGGTCCCCACAGGCTACTTGGCCAGACAAAATAGATGCTGAGGCAGCAATACCATGGAGTAGCTTAGCTAAACTCCGGCACATGCAGAATTGGAAATGGGCCCCTAAATATATTTTTAATATATTTATTTCAAGTAATCTTGAACACCTGTGCTTCTAGAATAATTTTTAAGGTAATAGGGCAGAAAATACTTACTGAAGGTTTCCATATGCTATTAAATTTATAAACCTAAATTTATGGTAATTAAGGGCTAGGAACTTATTATGAAGTACAAATTAAGACTGTTTCTGCATCAAATATGCCCTAAATCAATGAACTATATTGAAGCATCATTGTAAAAGATTCCTATGTACCAGAACACTAAGATAATTAATGAATTTTTCTCTGCAAATTCCTAAAAGTAATAGCCATTGGATAAGGACATGGATTGTACAAATACTGATTTTATCAGGGCTTTGGCAATAGGTTCCATAAATTTTAGATGTTTGTTGTTTGTTTTGTTCTAATGTGAACACTTAATTGGAAACAATAATAATAATATATACATTAGGTGCAGCTTTTTATTAAATCAAGTAGAGATTAATTTATAACCTAGAGTTATGAATTTACGCTAGTGGTTGTGTTTTGAATTTATTCAAGTTTTTTTGGATTCTGCCTTTTCTTTCCCCTGTCCTCCCCAGCCATTGCTTCACCTGTAAAGTCCGAGTGTCTTACTCTTTTAAAGGTGGAAATTAATGTGTCAGAAATCTTGATTTACCATAAGACTTGTATATTTTTGGTACCCCTTCTTTGCACAGACTTCTACGGGAAGCCACTGCCTCCCCTGGCTGTGCGACAGAGACCTAACAGTGATTCTCACGACGTCATATCATAACAGCTCATGGGGACGCACTCTGTTAAGGTCGGCAAGATGAGCTGGAGGACCTTCTTTGTCAAAGGAGAAAAACCCTGAACATCGATGACTGGGGCAAGACAACCATAGCAGTATCAGTGAGCCAAAGACCTGACTGTTTTGATAATTACTTACCCATGGTCTTCATGGTTCAAAGAAAAAAAAGAAGCAAAATGACCAGCAAATGGGACAAGCATTTGGACCAAGTTAGCAAAAACTAGTGTTGACTCTGATTTATACATCCCAACTCATGGGCATATTCCTGAAGGAAAAGCTGTTCAGAAAAAGAACCAATGGACTCTATATACTTTCTTTACTATTTGTTTAATAGTCTCTATTTCTATATCTTAAACATTTGTAAGATATATGTGCATGGAAAGGGAATTCTTAGGAATTTATAACCTAAATTTTTAACTTTTTATATTTTTCTAAAACTTTGGTTTAAGAATTTTAATTACTAAGATATTGACTGTGCACTTTTCTATAGATGCTTTGTTTAAATTGTGTCTGGAAAATGGAGTTGATTTACATGACAGACAACTATACAAACAGGATATATTTATATGGTTTGAGGTATGTTTTATAATAGTACTGTTCTTGAAATATACATCCTAATTTTACCTTAAGATATCTTTTTAAAATCGATTCTCAGATTTTTATTTTACCAAATTATGTTATTTGAAAGCACTAATTAATTAGTTGAATTTTTGTTGTTTGTTTTCTTTGGTGATGTTCCCAATAAATGAGAGACACTTGCAATACCTTTTGACTTAAATGCTTTTTAAATTAATAAAAATGTTTTCTGAGATATTATTAAAAGTCCCAATAAACACCTCTTTCAAAGATTAGATCTTTTCAGAGATCAGGGTGCTTCTCACTCCCTTGTTCTATCAGAAGCTTCAGTGACTCTTTTAGGTTATTCTAATTCTTTTTTGCCTTGAAATTAAAGGCAAAAAGACCAGAAAAGCTACTGTAGTCCAGAGACTTTATTTTATAACTGGGAAATACTTGGGTACTAAATAAATAAGAATGAAATGTTGGTTTAAATTACATTTATAAAGAAATAATTCCAAAATAATTACTTAATTTAAAATAATAGTACTTCTCTTGCACTGAAGAATGGCATCTATAGGATTCTTCCTCATCTGGCATTTAGACAAACTTTTAGATATATATTTTGAATAATAGATTCAAATGTTTAATTAAAAGCATCCATTTACATCAAGGTGAAAATACTCTAACCCAGCAGTCCCCAACCTTTGTGGCACCAGGGACCATCCCCCACACACACCGTGTCTGTGGAAGACAATTTTTCCACGGACGGTGGGGGGATGGTTCAGGAGGTAATGTGAGTGATGGGGGGCGATGGGGAGCGGCAGATGGAGCTTCGCTTGCTCGCCCGCCCCTCACCTGCTCTGTGTCCTGTTCCTAACAGGCCAAGGACTGGTATCGGTCTGCAGCCTGGGGGTTGGGGACCCCTGCCCTAAACAGTAATCACCTTGTTAAAATTGGTCAGTTTGGCAACTTGTACTGTTAACAGACTTATACTGGTATCTGACAATAACATGATTAAGTATGTCTAAGACAGTTTAATACGATTATTTACTTTAAAAATTTTCCTTTAGAACATCACATTTTATTCACATTTTTTAACTCATTGAACGCATTTATTAATCAGGTCACTTATTACTGTAGTCAGCATCACATGCAGTTTTTTGGAGTTTTGTACATGGGACCTACTTAGCACACTGAGTAGAAAAAGCATTCTATTTCAGATACAAAATTCATAACAACCTAAATTTGATACGTGACTGAAGTGTAAGGAAAAGCAACACAAGAAGACAATGTAAATTTTGAATTGGATTTTAGAGAAGAAACTTGTTTGTATATCTTTTTTGGTTCTTTTTGTAAAATTTACATTTATTCATTTTCTAAAACCTAAACTAACACTTTTGCCATTTTTAATATTCATCTAGTTTGGGAATAGATATAAATCTTTAAAATTTTTGTTTCCTACCAGTGATTACTGTAGTGTACAATAATTACTGAGTCCATTTAATAAAAATAAATAAAAATAATTTTCAAGGTTTTGAAATTAAGTATATGATAAAATGGAATAAATGTTTTATATCTCTCTCTCAAAAATTAATTTGTATTCTTAAAGCATTCTAAAAATATTTTTAAAGTTTTGTAAATCCAGGTGGCTTTTAACAAGTAAATGCCTATTTTGTTATATGCTGCATTTTTATTCTTAATCATGAATTATGACATTTTCACACAATAAAAATAATTTCATCAGTATGCTGTTTTGCTTTTCATTTGAGAAACTTAAATGATTTCTTTTTGGTAACGAAATAAAAAATTTTTAAAAATATGATTGTTGACATTTTAAATTGATAGATTAAAATGATAAATTTTTTGTTACTTTACATGAAAATCTTTTTTCTCTGCATGCATTTTTATATATATGGGAAAGAACATTGTCATTTCAAAGGCAGTTAAACATACATCATATCACCTTATGTTTCTAGATGACTTGATGTCTGTCTCTTGTTAAGATAAAGCTACTAACCAAAAGATAGTTTCACTTTTTTGAAAGATAATTCTCTATACTTTTATGTGTAAAATGCATATATAACATATATACAATTTTGTATGTAGTTGATTTAAGTAGAAAACTTTTTAGAAGCAACACTAGAAAGAAATGTTGCAAAATGCTAATAGTGAATTTTTTAGTTATTGGTCATGTGTTTTCCTCAATTTTTCAAGCTAGTTTTTTGTAATTTGTCTACTTTTATAATGGAGGAAGCAAATTCATAATTTTGTAAAAATTAAGTGCCATGTTTTCTGCAAGTTTAAAATGAAATGCTCTTTTAAGTGCCAAATGATGGAATAGAATTCACCTAATTTGTAAAACTTTCTGTGAATAGTCGAGAAACATTCAACAGTTGAATATGCCATTATATTTGAGGCTGATCTCTTACTAAGTGTTCTTTTACTATGGCAATATTTTATTTTATTTGAAACTTGGTTCTATATGCTACGTTTTTTATGTTACTTAGTTTCTCCCATTCCACACTAAAGAAATACTATGCTTCCAGATGGCAAAACTCATCAAAAGTGAAACTGCATATACAAATAAAGCTGTAGGTTATACATTTTGTTATCCTTGGCTTTACTATTTAAGTTTTTCTCTAACTGAAGTATACTTTGCAATTGAGATTCTGCTAATACTGACCTTCTAATTTATCAAGAAATACATTCCAGTGGGTCCAAAAAATAAATTCATATATTTCAAACCTTAAAGAATGGTGTAAATTATCAAAATAGCAATAATCCATTGTCTTTGTGGAAACAATAATAGAAGTCTATTTTTTTGAGAAAAAATAGTAAATCAGAAATGAATTTCTTTTAATGAAGGGGATCAGTTTATATTAAAGGGAAAATATGAAGAAAATCATTTGCCAGTTTAGAGCATGAGTTGTAAATTCCTTTTGTGTGCTGATGAGGAAACAATTTGTGTTCTGGGTAAATGAACCAGTGGTCTCCAAATTTTATACATCCTCTTCAGTAAGCATGTTTAGTATACAATAGATATAAAGTTACTGCATTAGTTTGCTAGGGTTGTCATAACAAAAAGTACCACAGACTGGGTGGCTTAAACAACAGAAATTTATTTTCTCATAGTTCTGAAGCCTGAGTCCAAGATTAAGGTGTTGGCAACCTTGTCTGACACCTCTCTCCTTGGCTTACAGATGGCTGCTGCTAGTGTCTCAGTGTGCCCAAATTTCCTCTTTATAAGGACACCAGTCAGATTGGATTAGGACCCACCCTAAAGGGCTCCTTTTAACATAGTCACCTCTGAAAAGGCCCTATTTCCACATGCAGTCACATTCTGAGGTACTGGGATGGGAGAGTGGGTGGGGGAGGAGGGAGTTAGGGCTTCAACATGAATTTTGAGGGGATATGTTTCAGCCCTTAACAATTATATACATGTTCTCCTGTATTTTGCATATACTCCCCTAAATTTATTTTAAAGATTAGAAAAAATTGAATAAAAATACAAGTTATTATATTCACTTCCCAGTCCCAGTGGATTGTTTGCTGGAGTTTGTACACACCACTTTGGAGGACTATGATTAAAAAAATGAGAGCCTCAGCTAAGTAGCTACTCACCTAAAGTGAAGTTCAAGATTGCCTATAACCGTGCTTTGTTCTCTTGCTTTGATGGTAGGTTTCTCTATTGTGTTTTTCCGCTATTCAATTTAAGGAGCTTACACCCTCTTGAAGTCAGATTGTTTTACTACGAATCCTGTCTTTACCTTTTTGATGCATAAACCTGAACGTGAAGGGCTTTGAGAGATGTTTTATATAAATATGAAAATTCATAAAGTTTATTCTGAAACACTTCTTATATCAAATGACTTCACAATAAAATTGCTTAGGTATGTAAAAATTATTTTCCTGCATAGCAGTAAGCCCTTATATTCTTAAGCTGCCTCAGTCTTTAAAAATAATAATAATAATAATTTTAAAACCCTAGTACAATTTCTGGTATTTGTGTCAACTTAATTTATCTCATGTCTGCAAAAACAAGCCTGCCTCTAGTCATTTCTATTCTTTTTTTTTAAATATTACATAGTATTTATTTATTTTTATTAATTTTTTTTGGAGTGTGGTTGCTTTACAATGTTGTGTTAGCTTCCACTGCACAGCAAAATGAGTCAGCCGTACACATACAGATATCCCCTCCCTTTTGGACTTCTCTCCCATTTGGGTTACTACAGTGTATTAGGTAGAGTTCCCTGTGCTATAAAGTATGTTCCCATCAGTAGTCTTTTTTTTTTCGGTACGCGGGCCTCTCACTGTTGTGGTCTCTCCCGTTGCGGAGCACAGGCTCCGGATGCGCAGGCTCAGCGGCCATGGCTCACGGGCCCAGCCGCTCCGCGGCATGTGGGATCTTCCCGGACCTGGGCACAAACCCGTGTCCCCTGCATCGGCAGGCGGACTCTCAACCACTGTGCCACCAGGGAAGCCCAGTTGTCTATTTTATACATAGTGTCAATAAATTATACGTGTCAATCCCAATCTCCCAATTCCTCCCTCCCCTCTCCTTTCCCCCTTGGTATCCATACATTTGTTCTCTACGTCTATGTCTCTATTTTTGCTTTGCAAATAAGATCATCTATACCAGTGGTCCCCAAACTTTCTGGCACCAGGGACCTGTTTCATGGAAGACAATTTTTCCACGGCTTGCCCACCTCTCACCTCCTGCTGTGCGGCCCGATTCCTAACAGGCTGAGGGCCGGTACCCATCCGTGGCCCAGGGGTTGGGGACCCCTGATCTATACCATTTTTCTAGATTCCACATATATGCGTTATTATACAATATTTGCTTTTCTCTTTCTGACTTACTTCACCCTGAATGACACTCTCTAGGTCCATCCACGTCTCTACAAATGACCCAATTTCGTTCCTTTTTATGGCTGAGTAATATTCCATTGTATATATGTACCACATCTTCTATAGCCATTCCTCTGTTGATGGATATTTAGGTTGCTTCCATGTCCTGGCTATTGTAAATAGTGCTGCTATGAACATTGGGGTGCATGTGTTTTTTTGAATTATGGTTTTCTCTGGGTATATGCCCAGTAGTGAGGTTACTGGGTCATATGGTAATTCTACTTTTAGTTTTTTAAGGAACCTCCATACTGTTCTCCATAGTGGCTGTATCAATTTACATTCCCACCAACAGTGTAGGA